GAATGCCGGGCAACAGACTGACCTTGAGCACGGACGACGGTGAGCAGGCCGACGAGGAGAACGATCGGATGGCACCACATCATCTTTTTCACCTTCCTTGCCGCCTCGAGGCTATTTTTTCCACCCGGCCGTCCTCCAGCTCGTCCTCACTTTTCTCGTTCCTCGCCGCACGCGTAGACGGGTCCGCTTTCCCCTCACGCAACCAAAACGAAAACACACTGCTATTACGTTCTTCTCGTCCTTCGTGCTCTTTCCTTTTCTTTCTCCACCCGTCCCTCCGCGCGATATCCGGTCTTTCTCGCGTGCCGATCACTCGATGGTATTTCCTTGGTACCGCTCGCGACTCGATCGCCGTTTAACGTCACGAAAGATCCTGCGTTCAGCACTCATATCACTTGTCCCCTCTCGTCCGCTCTCTCTCGGCCGCGAGAGGTCGACTCCCCGAACGAGTCCAAGAATTACTTGATCGCGATAGAAAAGTTCTTCTTCGTACGAATCACGTCACCTGTTCACTGACGACCGCTCGCGGATCCTCGCAATCCTCTGTCGACGATGGTCGACGACGTCCGCTCTCGCGTTCGTTCTGGAAATAGAGAGGAGAGCTGTTCGACTTTACCATCGCTAAAGCCGATAGTAAAACGCAGTAATGGCGCTTTATCGCGAAGAGTGGTGGTCAGGGTCTCGAGCGTCGTCTTTCTCAATTCGGTCGGGTGGTCGTTCCATTTCCGCACCTTGAGGAAAACTCGTCCGGATTCGCGCTCGAACGGGAATCTCTCTCAATCGTAGCGCGGGATATTAAAGCGGCGAGAACGGAAGCGGAAGGGATCACCGCGACGGGGATATCGCCGTGGATATGGACCAGTGGACCAGCAGGGGACAAACCCGATGAAACGAGGGGGAAAACTTGCGCGAGAGGATCGTCCGCGCGAGTTGTCCCAACTTTCGCGTTCGAAGCTCCAGCGATGGGATAAAATATACAGTCGACACGGTTATGCTCTGTCTCTCGCGCCACCTTGAAACGAGGCTGATGTTGTATACCCGCCGGAAAGAAGTAGAAAATGCACTGAATACGCCTCTAATGAGTTGCGTGAACTCGTTCCCGTCCGTCTCCGCTCTCTTAAACGCTCGCGCGTTTTTTCGCGCGAAAAAGAATAGACGCACGCGACGTCGCGACGAGCGAATCGTCGTTCCTCGACGAGTTTTACGATCGTCGCCGATGATCGATGAACTCGAGGCACATAAGTGCATGTAGCAGATGGTGGCTTTCCGTTAGGAAAACGAGGCGATGCGATGCGATGCGACACGACGCCATTGCCGTCGTTGCGGCCAACCGCGGCGCGATCCTCTCGGTCTCGAATAACACTTTTGCGAGGTTTCCGAAAGCTTCCCCGGTCGTTTCTCTCTGGACGGTAACTTCCTTCGGTAGCCCTGTACCGTCTTTGCCAAACCCCGAAGCATTCCTTCCATCTCTCTCTCTCTCTCTCTCATTCCCTCCTCCCCCCTCTCTCATTCCCTCCCCCACTCTCTCTCTCTCTCTCTCTCTCTCTCTCTCTTTCTCTCTCTCACCACTTTCAACAGCACTCGACTCCGGTCCGCAACGAGACGTAATTGAATAAAACCACTAAGTGATTAATTGCCGGAGCCTCCGTAGCGTTCTTCCATACTTGGCCCCGCCAACTTGGTACTCAAGTTTAAAAGATCTCAAGCTCGGACAAGTTTAAATCTACGAGAACGAAGCAGCCCTTCCACCTGGCCGATAATTTCGATCTCCCGCATCTTTTCGAGCGTTCTTTTTTACAACTACCGTACATATTTTATCTCGATATTTTTCAGGAAATATAGATAGTTATTATTATGAAAAAAATTAACGCGTTGGTAATACATGCAAATTACGTCCGTAGATAAATTATGAATTTATGACAAATTCTTCAGAAAGTACCCATTATATAAAAAAAATGTCAGTTTCGTACTTTTAAAAAATATCTGAATATCGTTATAGAAAATTATCGTGAAATAGTATCTCGTTTTAGCTGATAAATTACAGCTTTGTGGTAAGACGAATCAATCGATAAAGATTCGCGATGAAACGTTTTCCTCGAAACCACATCATTTTTGTACGAATTATCAACTTTTCCTCCGTAAAAAGAATTCCAACGACATTGTTATTACCTCTCTATTGTACTTCACTTCGATTATTTGTTGAACTATAAAAGTCGCATTAATACGAACACGGGAACGATCAAGGGTTTTGTGGACATTATTTATCGAGCTACGAAATGTATAAACTACTCGGTAACCAACGGAAATAAAAAATGGCAAAAAAAATATTAGAATTTATACTGCGAATGTCCTCATCTTTCTCTATTATATTCCTTTGCCTTATTGTTTCAAAATCGATAAACTATGGAAAATATGATAACGAATGACACGATATTTTCACAAACTTTTACTTTCTCACTGAATATTTCGTCGGCAAACATCTGGTCGCATCCTGTGCTCAGCAAGATCCCGGTTTATTCTATTACGGATGTTATGGTTTCTCGCGCGTTCAAACATTCAATACATCACTCCAAGACGGGCTATAACATTACCTCTTGATGTATTTTTCCTGTAGTTGATCACAATGTAAAAGCACCATAAGTAGAATGCGTTCAAAAATACTCGAGTAAATAAGTCAAATGTACGTTATTAAAATGGCTATTTCATGATAAATATCATTAATATCGTTAACGGAGCCCCTCGTTAAATATTATACAGCAATAAAATTTACAATTGCACGATATCTTTTTCTCGATACAACATCGTTCCTTTTCTTTTTTCGATAAAAAGTCCGGACGGAGTCGATTCTGCTTTAATCGTGATGTATGGTCCAACTTACGCTATTAAATCGAATTTACTTATACGTCTTCTCACGTTTTAGGCCGGGAGAGAGTTTTACTAGTTTAAAACTTGCGCCGACGAACCGTATAGGTGGGGATGCGTATCCGCGCTGGAAAGTAGGATCCGGTGAATTTATCGGTTTTCACGAAAGTTAAAAGTCTTGGCGGGGTCCCGATAAGCAATTTCATTGACCTTGCGGCGAAATGATCGCGCATTTTTTTTTTCTATTACGCGATATAATTGACGTTTCCGCGAAGAACTTGAATAAACGTCGGATCCCTTCCCAGCGTCACGCTTGCCTCTCGATTTAAAAAAAAAAAAAAGAACAGCTTGACTCGTCAATTCATCAGTTTTCATTTCTCGTGAATTCCACCCTTTGAAACTGGATAGCTTCGCTTTTAACGGCCGGAGCAATTTTTGTCATCGAAGCGAGAAAGGAGAAGTTGCTATTTAATAACATTTCGTTACATCGTGGAAATATTTGGCGTCTCCTGCTGCATCCTCGTCACGTTTCGAAGGTATACGTTTCGTCAGCGGTGAAAGAGAGCCGGGAGTGCTCGACGAAAAATCGTTAACTACCCGTTTCACAGCTAGAAGCCCAAGTTACCGCAACGAATCGAATTTGCTAATAGGGCTCTGGCTCCCCGAGCCTGGGGGAATCAACTCGACGCGTGGCAGGCAGGCTGTTAGAATATGTGTCCTGCGGGCCGATCCTGGTAGACCGGAGGGTACGAGAAATGTGTGAGAGTGTCGCGTTAACTGAAAACGCTCGTTAAAACGCGCTCATCAGTCCTCGCATACGGGACTTGCGTTCTGATTAACCCGAACATACGAGGGGAGGTGCGTTCGAGAGCTAACGAGAGCTAGGAGGAGCCGGAACGGGCAATTTCGAAATATGTGCAAAAATTCCCATTCATTTTCGTTTATCTTTCGGAATATTGCGCGAATTCTGTGTACGCCACACCGGAAAAATCCGATGACAAACGCAGCCACGCTTGTGAAACGTTTATAAACGTTTTGGTATATTCGGAAACGCGGGATCGGATTAATTCAACGAATATTAAATGTCGCCAGCGTAATTATCACGGAAGTCGCAAACAGATCGCTTTAAATGCGAAACGCGAGAAACAAAGTTAATAGAAATAAAAAACCAAACGCGTCCCGCGAATTAGGTCAACGGAACATTGTCACTTGTAAAAACATTGGTTTAAAAAAGAAATCGCTTTTTTCGAGATCGATCGCTTTCCACAGGATGAAATTGATATAATCGTAATTCCCAAAATAAATCGAGAATCAAATTCTTCATTTCTTTTTGTCTCTCGAGGAAGAAGATCATTGTTCCATTCTGCGTGTGAATCTATTCGCTGCGACACGATCCGAGGAATTACTGTTCCATCATGAGGAAAATCAGGAAATCTCATCGATATCGTGGTCCTGGTCCACTGCTCGTTAAGGGACCTGGCGGATCGGCACGAAGCTACGTGCTTCATCTATCATTCAACCAGTTGTACCATGTTTACTTAGCAAAAACACCTGTCGGCACCACCCGACGGCTCTTTCACCATTGCGGCATTGACACCGATCGTTTTGCCGATGAAAACTACGGGAATCCGGCCGGGGACGTTCGCCCGATGCCGGATTCCAATCACCGCGAACGGCCGACCGATAAAAAGCCGCGGAACTCGTTAAGCTGCCGCGCGACCGCGGCCGATTGACGTCGAATAAGAATCGAGACAGATGCGGAATTCCAGTCAGAAAATCCCCGCGATGCACCGAGAGTCATATCACATTATCGACCTTTCGTGATTTGCAAAAGCGACGGGAAAAGGGTCGGGAGAAAAAAAAAGAAAAAAAAGAGAGAGAACAAGGGAGAAAGAAACGGGAAAAGAGGAGCGGGACAATCGAGAGAAAAGAATCGTAGCGCGATTCATTGTCGTCAGCGAGGGACGTCATTCCTCCCCCAAGGGACGGCCGGTAATAGAAAGACACCTCGAGACCCCGCGACACTCCGCGCTTTAAAATCGACATCGACCTCTCCTTGTAAATCCTGGAGCGGAAACGCCGATTTTTTCGGAGCTATCGTCCACCCGGATGATGATGATGACGATGAAGAAATAAAATTCCGCCGTAAAATTCCGCGCGGTCGCTCGCACGCGCGACACGGCCGTACGTTCGCTTACGGAAGACGCGTGTGAGATCGAACAGCCGTGTATTTAAACGCGCGCGCGCGCGATATATATGCGTACACGGTACGCACGGGATACGCGTACGCTCGCCACGATCGCGGGCTCGGCACTGGCGCGCGGTGGCGCCCGGACTTTTAGTTCCTGGCGCTACCGAGCAGCGTCGCGACGCCCGTTCGACTTGTCTTTCTCCCTCCCTCCATCTCTCTCTCTCTCACACTTTCATCCCTGCCTCCCCACCATGGGAGCGGCGACGTCCGCCCGGCACACACCGGGGCCCTTCCGCGCGAATATTACGCCGATACCCCTCGTCGACGATGCCCGCCCGCGATGGGAAACCCCCGGCGCACGTGCTGTCAATCAAAAGAACGCGAGATAACATCCGCGGATAAAGGCTGTCAGTCCTGCTATCTGTACTTTAGATAATGAAATCCCTAACTTCATTTTCCACGGAGTGAAAATGCGCAATTATTCCGGCGGACGTCAATCGACGTGTATATAAGCGGCATACATAATAGAG